AGGATTTTAAAAGTTTGCACACTTTGTTCTCATGACTTGGAATAACACACTCTTTAGGTTGAGTCATATAAATTTTCTCCTCTAATTCACCATTCAAAAAGGTTGTCTTAACATTCATTTGGTGTATAACTAACTTATGGATAGCTGCTAGAGCTAACAAAACTCAAATAAAGGAAATCATAATCACAAGGGCAAATGTGTCAAAATAATCTATGTTGGATTTTTGAGTAAAACCCTTTGCTACTAATCTTGCCTTATATTTATCTATGGATCCATCAGGATGATACTTTTTCATAAAGATCCACTTACAACCAATAAGTTTTGTTCCTTTAGGCAAATCTACCAAAGTTCAAGTATTATTTTTCTTAACTGAATCAATTTTAGTCTTAATGGCCTTCTCCCAATGTATTGCATCAGGAGCCCTAGTAGCCTCTAAAAAAACTCATTGGATCATTTTCAACTAGATAAGTGTAGAAATCATCTTCAAAGGAGGTTTCTTCCTCTGTCTTTTACTTCTCCTCAAATCTTCATATACTTTATCATTATTAATATCTATAGATTGTTTATGTGTCTCACTAACCTTTAGAGAAAAAATAGGTTCAAAGAACTCAACATTTTTTGTCTCCACTATAGTATTATGCTCAATTACATTACTTTTAAGGACAAGAAACCTATAGGTAGCACTATGTTCCGCATAGCCTAAGAATATATAATCAAAAGTTTTAGAGCCTGTATTTTCTTTTTCTTAGGATTGGATAACATTATCTTAGCTAGGCACCCCACACTCTTAGATATTTAAGATTAGGTTCATAACTCATAAGGAGTTTTAACAGTTTTCTTATAAAAAAAAAATGCATTATAAGTATATATTCTCTCAGAGGTTATTTGGTGCACTAGAATTGTTTGATTAAGTATATTTTGGTGTATGTAGAGTAGTCATCTATAAATGTCACAAAATAATTTTTACCACATCTTGACGTGGTTTGTTTTAGATCAGCTAGATTAGTATGAATTAATCCTAAAAGTTCAGTTTGACGTTCTACCGATTAACAACTTTTCTTGTTATTTTAGATTCTACACATATATCACATTTCTTATTGTGTTTATCATTTATATTAACTAATCCTAATCGTTGCAATTTCATAACATACGAAGAATTCAAGTGTCCTAGTCTAGCATGTCACAGATCATATGAACCAATAATATAAGCAAAAGAACAAGATTCATTAACAACCTCAAAGATGTTAAGTACAAAAAGACATTGATCACAATATCTCTTCCCTACAAATACATTATTTTTTGTCATAACAATCTTATCAGATTCGAATGACACTTTAACCCCAACTTTTCCCAACAGTGCTATAGAGATTAGATTAGCTCTGATTAATGGCACATGTAGCACATCATTCAAGGCCAGACAGAGTCTTTCTAGATGTGAGCTTTAGAAGAACTTTTCTTTTTCCTAAGACAGGAGTTGTCCTGGAATCACTGAGATAAACATGTTCTTCTCCATGTCCACACTAGTGTAGGAGGTAAAATCACTTCTGTTTGCACAAATGTGTCTGGTAACACCAGAGTCTACCACCCATTTGCTCATATTTGTCACACAAGTTTATTTGGGAAATGACCGCAATAATTGTATCTTTTCCTTTGGCTAAATTTGTCCTAGGAGGATTGTCATTCTCATTCCAAGTCTACACTGAGGTACATGATGACCTTACTTTCACAAACAAAGTAATTTTCTTTCTTGAACGTAAAGTGGGGTTAGATCCATAGGTTTCATACAATCTCAACCCTTTCTTATAAAATAATATGTAGATCTAAGTCATGCACACTTAGCTGTTAATTATTCACTTCCAAAACAAATCTTTCACAACATATAATACTCATCATAATTCAATTTTCATGTTCCGTTAGTATACTAAATCCGAAAAAGGAACATGTGTTTGATGACATCACTTTGATCCAAAAATTTTCTATCATAATTATAACATGCAGTGAAACCAATTTCATACCTGATTCACCTTTAACCTAGTCACATCATTTGTCTTTTTAATAAGAATTAAAAGGTCATTCACATTTCAATAAGAAATTGATTGTAAATTAGGGTTCGTGTTAATATAGAAATCCTAAATTCATAATTAGGATTTATCTTAATTTAGGAAAAGTGTAATTTAAAAAATTATCATAAGAGAAAAATCATAAATCTAATAAGTATGGCTCTGATAGCACATGTATTTTAAATTGTAGCTTTTATAGGTTACTAATTCTATAAAACTACTGTTAAGGTTTAGATTCTTTATTCTCACATAATAGCATACATGAATCATAATCATATAATCCCATAACAACATACATGAATCATAATCAGAAGACTAACATTGATCCGTAAACACTTCATAATTCCCTTTCTTTCACTATCCAATATTGTAAAACTGTTGAAGGAAGTTGTTAATATTCATACTGTCAACTTTAAGTCCTTAAGATTGTTGTAAAAGCTGACAGAGATACAAACAAACTTTATTCCTGAGACATGTACAAGCACTGCCCTTAAGGACTTATCTGTGGTGTATTGCGCAAGTCCCCCAGGATATAACCGAAACTTCTCGGAATATCCGAGGATCTCAGAAACTAGCAAGAAACTCTCAAAAGAATAAATGTACCCAAGTTAACAGAAACATTAGAGAAAGAAGATAAGAGATGTGTATTTCTGAAGAATGTGGAGTGATATCTATTTATAGAAGAAAATCTGTAGCAATTATGGGAAGACTTGGTAGTGAATCTATAACGTTCTCTAAAACATTCTCTGAAACGTACTGTTATCTGTAACGTTATCTGTAATGGTCTTTTGCAACGTGCGAGAACACGTTCTCTAAAACGTCTCTATAACTTGTGGGACACGTTCTAAGTTTTGCAATACCGCTCAATTTACAACAATCAATGATAATCTCACTAAACTTAAATTTCTCTCTAATTTCTAAATTTTGTGAAAAAAAAATTTGTAACAACTTGTTTTTACGTACAAATAGTTCTTATAAAATGTCAAACTTTAAACATAGACATTATGAAACACGCGTTTGTAACTTCTGAACTAAATTTCAAATTTATATTAAAAATGTTCTTATATCTTCTCCCTTTTCATCAATTTTTATTTTTATTTAGTTTATTAAGTTCAAATGCATTAAATAATCAAAATAATTATCGAGAAAATATATAAAAATATAAGAATAGAGGATTATTTTTTTATCATTAATCTAACATAATCTAACCCAACCTTTGATTTGACTTAAATTGGTTATGAAGACGAAAATGAATAATATATTAAGATCTTTATCTTTATAAAGACGTTTTTTTAATTCTTATAATATTTTTTTCAGTCTTTATAAATATATTATTTTCTTATTTTAATTTCTCATAATGTTCATATAATATCATCATTTTAAGGTTTTTATAACAAGATCTAATGAGAGAAACTAAAACAAATATTTTAAAATTACGTAAAAACAACTTTTTTAAAATAGAAAATACAAATTGCTAATATTTAATAAAAGAAATTTAAACATAATAAGCAGATGACCTCTAATTTTTTTCTTGTCTGAAATCCAAATAAATAACATTTCTCAAGAAATCTTATCATTGAGATTTTAGAGGAAAAATATTTGACTCACTTTTTAAATAAGGGTCGCTGAATGTTCTTTTTTTCAAACCATTTGACTGAAAATTCCTGGTTATGTTATTCTTTTGGGACATATTTTCTTCTGCTTTTCCTTTTGCAATTTAACCATTTGCTTTTATATGCTACATATGTGGTTGAGAAGTTGTTTCAATCATTCAATTTTCATTTGAATAAAAGTGCTACTTAGTTGGTTTTTCTTTCTCTCTTTTTTGAATTCAAACATGAATTCAATTAATGTATTCTTGCAACGGGCCCTTTTATTTTTTCCTAAATAATAAACAATTTTTTATATTGATAATTTTCTATATGGATAAAATATATTTTTCATATACTAAAAATAAAAAATATTTATAATAATTATTATATGAAAAATATATTTTATGAAATAACAATCCCATAATCTTCAAAATTTAGTTTAGTTTAAGAAAAAAAATCATTTTTATATAAACATAAAATTATATATATATATATATATATATATATATATATATATATATATATATATATATATATATAAAGACATTCTTAAAAGTTAAAATTACATTCGGTTAAAAAATAATATTACTATAAATATTAATGCCTTAATAAATAAACAAAGATTAGGAGTAGCAGGGATAACAAATCTTCATCATTCTTGCTATTATAACTGAGAGACTGAAAATGAAGTGTGTATTAGGAATACAAGTACATTTAACCTAAAAATTAATCAATACCAGTATTAATTAATTTAAATCGTATTATATAGTGAATGTCAGAAAATTGAGATGTCATTGTTGTAGTTGGATTAGCAGGTGCAGTCAGGAGAGGTTGAGTTAGATGTTTCAGATTACAAGGACCAATGTAAATAAATAAAATAAATTATTATTTCTTTCATTTTCCATATATATTTTTTTCTACCACTCTTCCATCTTATCGTAACGCCAACGCCACCACTCTATTATCTAAAAATAAAACCTTCAATTCCATTCTTCAAAATTACGTGTATTTTTCCTATAAAAAAAATCCTTCCATTTTTTATTTTTACTTTGCTTTTATTTTTTCATTGGATTATATCTGGATTTATTAGCAATTTTAAAATTGGAATAATTAAATTTATTAATTAATAATTATAATTAAAAACCTTGTTTACGCTCCACGGATTAAACGCCACATCGGAGTTATCACCTGCTTTATAAGCGTCCTAAACTCTTTTCTTTTTTCTCACTCATCATTTCTCTTCTTTCCTACATTCTCTCTCTCTCTCTCTGAAAAGAAAAGAAAGGAAAAGAGAAAGAAGAGTGTGGTTGGAGTGTCAACACACAGCACACAGATCTGGGAGAAGACGATGGGGCACAACCAAAACCAGAGATCTCTGATCTACGCGTTCGTCTCTCGCGGCACCGTGATTCTAGCCGAGTACACGGAATTCAGCGGCAACTTCAACACCATCGCCTTCCAGTGCCTCCAGAAGCTCCCTGCCTCAAACAATAAATTCACCTACAACTGCGATGGCCACACCTTCAATTACCTCGTCGACAACGGATTCAGTGAGTGCTCCTCGCGCTGATCGATCTAACAGAAATCCCATTCAATTGAACGAACACGCTTTAGTAAAATGAATTGAAATTAAGCGAAATGAAATGAAATTCATGTTGCTCTGAATTGTTTTCGACGCTAATTTGAATTTATTTGTCACTCGCACTTGCTTTTTATAGCGTATTGTGTTGTTGCGGATGAGTCAATTGGGAGACAGGTGCCTGTGGCTTTTCTGGAGCGCGTGAAGGATGATTTTGTTGCCAAATACGGCGGTGGGAAGGCGGCGACCGCCGCCGCCAACAGCCTGAACAAAGAATTCGGGTATTGACTTTCTGTTGTGTGAGCTTGATGATGCCAGATTTGTTGTGATTGTGATTTGTGTTGCTTGGGGGAACGTCTTATGTGGTTTGATTTGTGCTTGCTGCAGGTCCAAGTTGAAGGAGCATATGCAGTACTGTGTTGAGCATCCTGAAGAGATAAGCAAGCTTGCTAAGGTGAAAGCTCAGGTTTCTGAAGTAAAAGGTGTCATGATGGAGAACATTGAAAAGGTAAAGATGCACACTGCTTACTTGTTTTGACTTGAGAAGAGTGTACTGCGTAAATTAAATAGATCTAGCATTAATTTTTGTAGATCAAGTTAGTTATAATGAGAAATTGTAAGAGTTTTGCGTTATAGAGGGAAGTATAATTGTGGTTCTGTTTGATTTTTTTTTTTATAATAAAACAATGGGATCTTTGAGAAAACCTAAACGTGTGACAACTTAAACCACATGTATGGCACTGTTACATAGTCTGGCCTGCATTTTGTTGAATACACGGCTTTATACTCGTGTTGTATTGATACACTAGAATCTGTCATAGTTGTTTGAATTGCACACGATTCCATACAAACCGGCTTTGAACTGCGTGTTATGTGCATGTACCTGGGCGGATTTCCCACAGATCAGCACATTATTATATTTATTTTAAATAAAATTAGAATTTAGATAAGCTTAAACTCTTAAACGAAAATAAATTAAATGAATACTACTAAATGCACTTTTCTATATTATTAGTCCATTACTTTGTAGTTAAATAAATATATAAAATAATAAGATGAAATTTAGAGGATAAGACCATAGAGTAAAAAAACTAATAATTTCATAAATGCATATTTATATAAATGTAGTCGATAAGCTAATTTCATTAATTAAATCATGTTTGTATATTAGTTTGGCTTTCGGTGGTTCTATTAGTCTTTAAAATTGGATCCGATATCCAAATGAATAAAAATTGCTCTTTTTGGCCTTTGTGTTTTCAGTTTGTTTTTTCTGTTTACGCTGAATTGGATCAGTTTGAGTACTCCTACCTCTTGCGGTCACTCGCTTTCTGTGTTGTATTTGGCTGTTCCCTTTGTTCTGTTTTTATTCTTTTGAAAGAGAGGCTTCAAGTCACAGCCTCTTACTCACGTTATATATATGCCTTATTTTGCTATATTATCACTTTGTTTTAGTTATTCTGAAAGTAAGACTTCATTCATTGACTTTATGTGGTTCCAGAGCCAAAGAAGAGACAAAAGAATATTTAGTAGGAACACTCAAAGAATTATGATTTAATGCATGAAGTGAACGCATTTTTTTTTATGCTTACCTGATGAAATATTATCTTTAAAATAAGTAACAATTACTCATCAAATGTAATTAGCGTTTAATGTCCACATTGAATATGGGGTAGTTTGCTAGGATGAACTACCATTTAGTAGGAACAAAAGGAATTATAACATTGAAAACTATTCACCATTTAATACGATATATTTCTCACTGTTTCATTGTGTCCTTAAATCCTATAATTTGATTTTCACAAATAGAAAAAAAAAATTGTGATTGATATTTCTTGAAGTCCAGTTTAGGTATGTCAGATGGGGATCTAGGATAATTTCAGCCATATATTCCTCATTGCATTTTTGGATCTGAAGTGGTTAAACATGTGAAACATAGTTAATGTACCAGATATTGTGGTGATCTGTGGCTGTTATTTGTACCATATATTATACTTTTGAGCTTGCCCATGTGTAGTATAAATTATTTAAAATGTAATATAATATTTAACTTGTATTTAAAATCTTCAGTATATCAGACATCTTGCTATCCGCTATCCTATTATAGCAGTTTTGCAGTTGGCTTCTGCACACTACTATCCAGGATAGATATAAACAATTTCTTGTAGACAAGGAATATTCTTTTTTCACCATCAAAATTTTGAAAGAAAAATAAAGCAAATCAACATGGATTCATATTTGTTATCTTGAAATTTTGTTGAATATAAGGAGAAAGATGAATTGGGTTCTTATTGATATACAAGTAGTTGGGGGAAAAGGAAGGTTCATATTAACTGGAGCCAAAGAAGGTCTAAGAAAATTTGAACTTTGTCCGATCTCCATCTCCTTTTCATGTTGAACCCCATTTCCCACATTGGTTGTCCATTTTCTAGGTTTTGTCAATATTCTAGTGCTTTCTTTTAATCAGACACCAATTCAAATCAAAGTGCCTTCATTGCAGCAAATGCATGATGTTATACAAGGAAAAATTATGTAGCTTAGTGTGAAGTTGACTTTGAGGAGCCGTAAGTTGAGCTTAAACACTACGTTTTGTGAATGGGAAGTTCTTTCAGTTCTAGATTGAGAAAGTTAATGCAGATGTCTCTGGGGATCTTTCCTGGATTGTAATTAGTGAGCCATGGGCTTTCTTTTGTGGACATCAGGGAAGTTAGGCAAAGGGATTGTCTATTTGTTTTGTTCAAGAGCCTTTGGTGTGGACCATGCTATCTCCTACCTCCGGTTTACTAAGATACTATTCTCCTTTTTGAAGCAGGATTTTGACATATGTATTTCTTTTTCTATTCGAAGTTCCTTGAGGCTATTAGCTTATTCCTTTCCGAAAGTGAATCTAGCTAAAATTAGTTTGACTGAAAGCGAGACTCTTTGATAGGCCTCCAATTTTAATTCTTTTTACCAAAGGAGAGGCAGGAAATGGAGGGACGGGAAGGGAATCATGTTTGAGAAATATTTTTGGAGGAAAGGAAAGAGTGAACAGAATGGATAGATAGGTGGCAGCTGGACATTGGAGAAGTGTGTGGAGAAGCATGGAAGAGAGGGGACTATCATGGAGAGAGCGGGAGGAGAGGATTTGTTAAATCTTTTAAGGGTATAATTGGAAAGCTCAAGCTTATGGGCAGGGTGGCATTCCATGCCTTTTCTTGTTTCTCGTTGTTTCTATCAACCTCTGCTAGTTCTTTGTTTTAAGTACTGTAATTAGAGCACTGTTCTATAATTGATCTTGTAATACCTTTGACGATAATTTCCAAATACTTTATTCTCTTAGAAAATGTATCTGTAATCAATATTTTAGGAAAGTTTTGAAGGCATAAAAATTCAAATTTGGATCCTCTGTTTTGTACAAACAGGATGCGATCACGTTGGGGGGGAAACAAATATTTTTTTATCCATTAAGAATCTACCATGTTAGTTATAGGACTCACGAATTATATTTGATAATAAATGTCTCTCTTTCCAACATAATCATATCGTGTTACATAATAACAGGAAAGGATCCGAGTCCCCGAAATTATGTTCTCCAAAATAGTTAATGGTACTTAAATTGCACCTTTGTTGGGCGGCTGTGCTTTGTGAATGACTTTAAGTACACTTGTTTTCTGTGTAAAATAATTATAAGTAAGCTAAGATTTACTTATTGATTTGTAATAGTTAATCCCTTCTACAACTCCCAATTGCTCATTCCTCTCAATTCTTAAATTGTGCATTTCAAGAAAGGAGTGTGTTTCTGTGTCTGTTCTATTTTCTATGCCATAATGATATACCTTATACCATATGTACGGAATAGAGAAGCAGAGATTAACCAAGTACATATCAGCAGAAAACAAGTAAAGGAAAAGATAAAGTTCCATTTTTGGCAGTGCAGTACTTTTGATTGGATTGTGTAATGCACAAGGACATCTATATTCAGGCTTTGTTGACATGCTGGTAATTTAATGTAGGTTCTGGACAGAGGGGAAAAGATAGAGCTTCTGGTAGACAAGACCGAAAATCTTCATCACCAGGTTAGTATGTCGTACATGTGATTCTGATTGTTATGTGTATTGTGTTTCAGAGGTCTTGAAATCAGGATTATTTTTCCATGCTTCAAGATCATAAATGAATGTTTTCTTATCTTCTGGGCTCATTTTTTTTTTTTTGATGAACTACTATTTGCTCTGATCCTATAGTGTCTCTCCTGGTAAGACCTACCCACACCTCTACCTCTACCTCAGAAAAAGGGTGGAGGTTGATACGGAATAAAACACAGTATTGGTATTTTTTAAAATGAACTATTTTTGCATGCTGTTTACTTTTCGCCATTTTTTGAGGCAGGCACAAGACTTCAGGAATTCTGGGACCAAGATCCGTAGAAAAATGTGGCTGCAAAACATGAAGATAAAGTTGATCGTGTTGGCAATTTTGATAGCCCTGATCCTGATAATAGTCCTCTCTGTTTGCCGTGGGTTCCATTGTGGAAAATAAGCAGCAGTCATTTTACATTCTTGTGATTATATATGAGGAAAAGATATCGAATGAATGGATGACATGATTTTGTATGTAGTAAAAATATGGGATCTCTCATATTGTTCATTTTAAAGATTTTACAGTACGATATAAGAATGCTTTGGAAATATTAATTTGTTTGTCTATTGTAGTTCCATTTTCATTCACTCCACCCATCTCTTCTCATCATCATTCTTTGTAATTTTACTTATTCACATCTCATACGATTGTTCACAGCATTTGAGTGCAAGTTCATGTATTTTTCAACCAGACTTCGAATTTCATTAAATCCGTTTCTGTTTGTGTATCAAAATGTAGACTTATCCAATGCCGTGATAAGGAATTCGGGTACGAAACAAACGTTGAAGAAACACCATAATCATAGGATTCTCTTGATTTATGTTTTATAAAAAAAAAATTTAATTTCATAAATTTTGAATTTTTTATTTTATAAATATCTTGTCTAAATGATTAATTCAAACTGTTCTGTCACTTTTCTTTATAAAATAATTTAATATTTACTATATATAAAATTTATTATTTTAAATATATATATTTAAAAATTAAAAGTTAATATTAAACTTTATAAAGTTAAAATTAGACAAAAATTTATTTATTTATAGTTTTGAAAAATAATATTAAATATTCACAATTTGAAATTTTAAATATTGACATTTTTTATGTTAACGGTAATAGAGTAAAGAGAGAAAAAATAAAGGGTAAGAGAGGAAGGAAATAAAAGAGAGATGGAAGATGGAGATGAGAGAAGTGAAGAGAGAGGATACAATAACTGAGAAAAGATACTGGGCAGAAGAGAAAAAAATATAAAAAAGAAATATGAAGAATTTTATATTTTTCTTATTTTTTGAAAATTAAAAATTTATGTAATCAAAATTCATTCATAGATTTTTTTTTTAATTTAGAATGTATTACTCTCTTATAATTTCTATCCAAACACAATTGATTTCTAAGAATTTTAGGTTCAAAATGTTAAATTTATACATTTACTACGATATTCTAAATTGTATAACAATTTTTACAAGAGAAAGAATAACAGGAAAAAAATCATATAAACAGTAACATGTGTATTATGTTACTATTTTAAATATCATTTCCACAATTCTAACATTTTCAGGAATTCTATACTTTTTAAGTTTTTTCATTTAATCATTTTCATAAAGGCTGTAAAATTCTCATAAAGAGAAAAGTCTCTCTCTCTCTCTCTCTCATATATATATATATATATATATATATATTCGTTTAAATTAATTTATATGAACTTACAATATTATATTTAACTATTTATATAATTATTTTTTTCGTTTAAATTTGTATTGTAAAGATATGATTATTAATATTAGAAATTATTTTTTGTTTTGAGACTCCTATTATATCACATTAGTATATTTTCGTGATTTTTTTAAAAATCTAAGTCAATTAAAACTTTTAGTAAAACCTTATCATTCCAAATGTTCTTGATGCTTGTTCAAAACAAGGTTTTTGACTTAAAACGTAAACCAATAGCTAAAAATGAGACATAATAGGCACACAATAATTATGTATTTTTTCTCCATCAGAATTTATTGAAGTTAAAACTTTTATCTCTCTCTCTTAGTTGTACAAGTATATTTTCCACATTGTAAAGCATCAAGTAAAAACTGCAAAATAATTTGGGCTTTCAAGTAATTTTTTATTTATAAAATAATTTTAAAATATTTCAGATAAAACTTTTAATGTCGTTATTAATTTGCCAAGAATCCATCGTCATTCATTTGGCTAATAAGAAAAGGCATATATTATCATCATCATCATCATCACCATTTTACAATAACATTAGATAAAAGTGGAACAAATTAGAATTTGAATAGTAACAAATAAGAGAGTGCTGTGAAAGGCACGTCCGAGTGATGCAGCTGTATCAGGCTTTCTGACATTCAGCCCAGACTCAGGCCCAGGCCCAGTAGAAGAATTAGGATACCTACACGCGTCGTAACCTGGCAGACACAAATAACACTTTTTTTGTCTTCCCAACAAAGAAATAAGATAAGAAAGGAACGTTGCTCGTGGAATCAGAGTACTCACTTGGGTCGGTGTAAGTGATGAGTCCGGTGTGGCCGAAATCGCAGTCGAAATCGTGACCACCAGATGCTTGATAATATGCGTTCATGGCATACGCCGCATGGGACTTAACTGTGTTGGGCTTGAAGCATGGCCCACCATCATTTATGGGCCCACACTCTATTCCACTTCTGCTACAAACAAAGTCAATGTTGACCTGCAACGCTGCATCACTGGCATCCCTCTTCGGCACGCACCATTTCTTCGTTGAAGACGAAGACGATGACGAAGAAGGTGACTCAGAGGGTGTTAATGCCGTGGGACCCGCTGCCTTAAACAACAACATTACAGGAATTGCAAGGTTAGTATCAACGCATCTCTTCTAATCACAGTCTCTCCTATTTTCAGTATTCATTTTCCCCAAATTAATACTCTTACGCAATTAATTAACATTTGTTAGAAAAGGGATTGTAGTACAATTTGATGCATTGCTTGCTCCCATAAATGAATCGCAGAAGGAAATTTGAATGGGACCATCTTGGCATTTTAGGTTTAGGTCGGTGACATTTTCTGACTTATTACGATATTGTTTTGAAAAGTCAGAAAGGAGATGATAATTGTAGTGTAAATTTAAACTTCTTCTTAATTACCTGTTTGGCAATGAAAACGCCGACGTCGTAAACAGGGGTAAGATTGGGATTAAACAAGCCATAGTTACGTTCGGAAACTGTGGGCTTCAGATTCTCATTGAACAAAGAGAAGATAAAAGTCTCGAAAGTCCTATTAGGCATAAGAGGGGTCCCTTTTCCAGAGTTAACGTGCTTAATAAGATTCCCGTTATACGACGCCGCATTGTCAAAACTAACACCTGCTTCGTTTGGGTCACCAACAGAGGGCCAACCCGTTTCGGCCACCACCACTTCCACGTCATCATACCCGAGTTTCTTCATCGCCGAGAAAACCGCGTCCATTTGCGCGTCGAACATGTTCGTGTAGTTCACCCCCGTCCCCGCATCCCAAACGCCGATGTTTGGTCTAAATAGAGCGTAGTCCAGACTCTCCGGTCGGGTGGGAGAGAACCCGAAGAATGGGTACGGGTTGACCATGAATGGGGACTTGGTTCGCCGGTGGAAGTCTAGAATCGGCGCGAAGATGGTTTTGTCGTATCCGCGGCGGAACGCGGCGGCGCTGGGAGGCTCCGACGAGGCCAGGATCCCGAGCGAGTGAGGGGTGGAGACTTGGACGGTGGTGAGGTTGGCGAGGGAGAGGGCGTCGTGGAGGGATTTCATAGTTGGGAGCATGTGCGCGATTAGGGTTTTGTCGGAGGTGGCGAGGACCTCGTTCCCGACGGCGATACGTGTCACGGCAGTTTCAGGGAGAAAGGGGAGGATGTTGGCGGACAGCCACGCTTGCGCGGCGGGGAGCGTCGAGAGGGAAGGGATGGCGGCGTTCGTCAACGTGACAGTTATGGAGATGCCGGTGCCGGCGAAGGCGCGGAGCATGTCGGGGTTGGCGTCGAAGAGTTTGACGCGGTCGATGGCGGTTTGTGATTTGAGGAAGGTGGCCACCGTGGACGGCGGCGGGAGGTTGTCTGCCACTGTGCCATAGTTGACCCCGATTTTGGTGGTGTATGAAGCGTAAAGGTGCCGGAAAAGGTTGCATGCTAAGAGAAACAGAAGGAAGTGACGCAAAGATGGTTGAGTTGTAGCCATGAACCAGAGAGTTCGTGGGAACTATGTGTGTGCGTGCGAGTTATTCATTGGATAAATTGTGGAACTGTAAGAATGGGTGGGTCCCACTTAGGTTCCAACAGAACATCGTTCCAAGATTTTGCTTTCGTAACATTGAGGTGTTCGTGCTGCCGCAGATAAAATGTTATTATATTATTGTACTGTCTAATCTCATCGTGATGAAATTTTTCAATGATAATATATTTTATAAAGAATTTTAAAAATATAATGAAAAAAATATAAGAGGCTAATTTATTTTTATATAAAAATTAAAATATTTAATAAAAATTACGTTATTTAGATATGAAATAAAAAAATCATAAAATTTAAAAATAATATTACCTAAAACTATTGAAACATCCATACTTACATTTAAATATAAAATTAAAATACTTAATAAATATATTTATTTATTTATATAATATAATATCTTTAAAACAAACATTATCAGGTTACATCATTTTCTTGTATATATTTTAAACAAAATATCTAAAATAACACGTATATATTAACTCAATCATTAAAGTTTAAATCAACATTTCATTTCATACAAATCAGGTTAACCTGATAAAATTTGTCATTCTTATAATTATCATAAAATATTCTTAATATACATACTAGGACTAAATATACATTTCTCCAATAAATTAAGTGTTTAATCTCCTAAAAAGCTACATCTCATAATCATATACCGAATTCAAAATTAAAACACTTTTAACTCTACTTGAAAGACTCGCATGCATTGATTGAACTTAGAAATATGCTCATGTCATACTACTTTTCTTAAATATATATCTCTTAAATATATATCTCCAACAACATAAGTAACATAAGTAAGTATGACAAAAAAGGGTCAATAGTTCTAGTCGGTCGGTTCTGTTTTGGTCCATCCTACAAACCTGGTGGGCAAATTAAGCAGGCTTACTAGTTTGCTTTAAACAAGTATTTATATATTAAAATAAAAGTAATAAAGATTATATTAAAACTATCACATTTTTCATTATATTAGTAAAATAGGTAAATATATTATAATATTATAATTAAATTATAAATATTAATCAATTAATTTTAAATTATTCATTATAAATAGTCATTTTAACATACAAATATAATAAATATTTTAATTTATCTAATAAAATATTAATTAATAAATAAACAATAAAAAATGTATTCAAAGGTGTATTTTTTTAAAAATACAAATAAAAAAATTATATAAAAAATATTGGCGGACTAGCCTGCTAACTTGTCAATATATCATTTAGTAGGAATGATAAAACAGTTAGACCCACTAGGTCAGCCCACTTAAAAAATGATGGGCTAGATTAATAATTTTTAGTCTGCCAGCACGTTTTGACCCACCCCACCTAGCCCGCCAATTTGGTAGGTCAAAGGCGGGACGAGACGGGTTGACCCATTAACCTATTATAAAAAAATATTTATATATTAAAATTAAAATTAAAAGAATTATAATTAAAAATGTTATATTTATATTATGTTATTAAAATAGGTAAATATATTATAATTTAAATTATAAAATTTAATTAATTAAATTTAAATTATTGATTATAATTAGTTATTTTGACACAAATATCATATTTTTTCAATTTATTTAATAAAAATTTAAAAATTATTCATATAATTAAACATAAAAAAATACATATAAAAAATTTATATAAAAAAAAATTATGATAGATCGACCCGCTGGCTCACCAATTCGCCCTTTAGCGGGCGGGCTAGGGTCTGTGACTCGTCTTGACTATAGTGGGTCAGTCCACCTCGTCCCATTTTTGGTGAGCCAGAGGCGAGACGGGCCAAAACGAGGTAGACTGACCCGTTTTACCATCTCTATCTTTTAGCAAAGTGAGTTGGAATCTATAGTCCGTCCTAACTATGATGAGTGAGTCCGTCCACCTATTTTTGACGAGTTAAAGGCGGGACGAACTGACCCGTTTTATCATTCCTAAACATAAGTACATAATTGAAATACATTCTCTTATGTAACAAAGTAAATATTTATGACTTACCAGACACAACTATTTTTCACATTGTAAGCTAAGTCATAAAGACATCATTCAACTCTCACCATTTGATATTTTTCCTCTATGTAAATAGAGTATAAGTAGAATTAGGATATCTCCTTCAAAATCTCAAATTCAATACATCATTTATATCTAAACATAGTAATTTTTCCTTAAAAACCACTATGTTGCTTGCATCAATACATTATAGACATAACATACATACAAAAATAACTCATGATATTCCTCACACTACAAATAAGATTTTTTTTTATGCATATAATTGCACCCAACACATAATACATCACAGACATAACATATATAAGAAAATACCTCATGATATTCCTCACACTACAATAAGATATTTTTCTACGCATATAATTGCACCCAACACATATTTCGTGTTCATAACATGAATTTTAACATCCTAAGTCATATATATACTATTTATCACATTACAATAAAAAGTATTTTTTTTATTTGACTTTTGTCTACATTTTGGTCATAACTTTCTTTGTAAATATCTTTTTTAGCTAATTCATTTTTATTGGAATCCTTGTTTTTTTAATGATTCAATTTGCATAGGTGGAACATTTAATTTGGAGTTTATAACTATTTTTTATAATTTTTAGAAGATTAGACAAAAGATATACCAAACATTTAGGAAATTTTGCTTGAGTGAAAATTCTTCCGATTACATTATTTTTTGGAAAATTTTGGCTTCACTTGAACAAGATTCTCTTTTCCTTGAGCAAAAATACACACAAAAAAAAAAAAAACAAGTTTTATTTCACTTGGAATTTTTCACTTGAGCAAAATGTTTTCACTTTAGCAAAAAAAACTCCCAACAAGGACCCTTGCTTTGCTGCACATTTCGCTTTAGTGAAAAACTGTCGCTTGAGAGAAAATATGGAGATATCATACTTGCAAAATACACCTTAAACCAGTTTCCAAACACCAAACACAATTCTTTGAGACTCTATTATCCAATTTCTTTCTAAAGCATGTCATATTTAGTGCAAATATAATTATCTCACCCTAATATTCATCTTATCATTACATCATTACTCTAAATTAAATTATTTAATCACAGTTTAAGATATAATATTAACAATCAAGTTTATGCAAATCAAACAATACAACCAAATTATCATCACAATCTAAATCATTTATCCTAGATTACTAAGAAAATTATTACTAATTTTTCTTATCTCAATTTTATCCTATCTGATTTCAAAAACTCCAAAACTTTCTAAACTCACATGAAGTCAGATATTTCTCACAGAAAGTCCAATAAACAAATTTACCATATGTCATAATATTTTTAAACTAGTAAAAAATTATTTTTATTAAAAAAAACCCACATGTTTGCACCATGGGCTTCACATGCAAGTCTTTCAATTATTTTTTTGGTATTTTGTACACTTAAAGTAAGCCCTTATGTCATTTAAAATTCGAAATTGTTTTTCAATTTCTTTTACTACTTTGAAAGTTAGACTAGATAGATTGGTTCAATTTGATCGGAAACGAGACAAGAAATTAGTATGATACTTCTAAATAATTGGATTTTAATTAAACCAAGATGAAATCGAAAAAAATCGATAAACCAAAAAATCAATTGGATTTTTTTGGTAAGTGGAAAAAATATTTAGGATTAAATTTTGTTAATATAATTTTTTTATATTAGTTATGTGAATTTAAAATAATAGTTATTTTATTATATTTTTATTTTATTTTAATAAATATCTATTTATACTTATAACTTATTATAACCATGAAAGTAATCTTTCTTATTTTTTTTTCTTTTTATAACAAATTATTATTACTAATAAATTTATTATATTATAAAAATATTATTTTATTAAATCAAGTTTGACCTGAACCCATACCTTTACCAATTTGATGACTAATCTAGTTCTAAAAACATTTATTTTTCCTTTTCATTCGGTACCATGTATCCTTTTTCAATTAATAATACATATAACCATCACTTCTTATCTTAGTTTTTCTATCCTTCTTTCTTTACCTCTTACTGTTATGTTTTTCTTCATGATATAGTTTGGTTAGATGATTGTAACTCAAACATTGTTTTTCGTCATTTTCTTTTATTGGATTTTATATCTACAGTTGTAAAAAATTGATAGTTTAGCTCACTCTACGTAAGGTTAACCTAATTTATATTTTAAAACTTATTAATTTTTTAGTGTAACCTAACCTTATCAATTACTTTTTTAACTTACGTGCATTTTTATTATTTTTGTTTTTTATAAAAAAACATTATTAATAATAAATTTATCATATATTTATTAATCATAAAAATATTATTTTATTAAATTCAATTGGAACTCATTTAAATCTTTAGACCCTAAACTCGTGTCTTTACTGGTTTGATGACCAGGTGCTATAAACATTGGTTTGTCCTTTCATTTAGTATTTTTTTTTTTTCAATTAATAATACATATAACCCTCTTTTTTCTTGCATGATCTTGTTTGATGATTATAACTCATATATTGTTTTCCTCCACTTTCTATATTGGATTTTATATCTAGAGATGTCAAAGATCGACAATCCAGTTCCGTCTTTCTAAGACCAAGTAAAAAAAATCTTATCAACACAAGATCAAATATAACTTAGGCTATTCATTATTTGAGTCAAATATTTTTTGCACCACTGTCTGCCACCACCAAGGCGCTTTAAGAATTTTGCATTTTCTCAAGCAAATTCTTTAAAAAAAAAAAAAAAAGGGTATTTTTCTTGTTGCTGAACTCAAGGCCTACAACAACCCTAACTAGGCTAGCTGCATTGATATCAGAAGATTTATCATTGAATACATAGAGGGGAAATCACTCGTACCATAATTACTTGAGAAGCTTGAGTTACAATAGTTCACCTATTTTTTTGAAGATTTAAAAACAAATTACTTGAGAAGCTTGTATAATTACTATATAATCAATATTTTTATT